TCTTCACTCTAACAACCATTTTGATGGCATAAGAAATGTTGGAGGAATGTTCGGATTAAGAGTAAAATATTGCTATACATGTGAAAAGAAATACAGAAAATCAAAGGAACACGAGTTGAAATGTAAATCTCTCTGCAAATATTGTGGACGCGTTGGAAGTGAATATCCTTGTATGGCAACAGCAAACTATTTCAAAAAATGTGATGAATGTGGGAAAAAATATTTGAATGAAGACTGCTTCAATCACCACAAAAAAAGCAGCAATTGTCGGCAAACAAAAATTTGTGAGAAATGCGGTGTTATATGGTCAATGAAAAATTATAAGAGAGAGGCTGAAAAGAAGCATGTTTGTGGACAAAAATGGTGTAAAATTTGTCGGCAATATCATAGTATTGATAGAGGTTGCTTTATTCGCCCGTTAGAACTGAAAAAAGGAGTTGATTATCGCCTGGTAACTTTCGATTTTGAAGCAACACAAAATGAAGTGATAAAGAATGATAATGAAGAAAGACGGCTCCACAAAGTTAATTTCATTGCCGCCACAGTAACATGTACAAAATGCATGGAAGATGAAAAAATATGGCGCTCACCTCTGAGACAAAATGGAAACAGTTGCACAATCTGTGGAAACAATCGATCAATAACATTTTCACATCGTCCATTTAATCAAACAAAAGTCGATAAACAAATTGTCACAGAAAACCCGCTTAAATTCTTCATCCAATGGATTCTTTTTGAACTCAATTCTCAATATACAACAATGGCATTTTCACACAACGGAGGGCGTTATGATATGGTTATGGTATTCAGGGAAATATACTTGAAAGGAGTTGTACCGTCAATGATTCGTCGAGGTAATAAGCTTTATGAATTAAAAATTCCGCGCAACAATAAATGCAATGAGGTCATTTTTCTAGACTCATATAATCTATGTCCTGTCGCCTTGGGGAAACTGATTGGAGCATTTGGACTGCAAGTAACTGAAAAACAATTTTTTCCACATTTGGCAAACATCTCTGAAAATTATGTGAGAACACTACAGCAACTACCTCCAAAATCTGATTATTTATATGAAGGAATGCGGCCCGAAAATCAGAATGAATTTGATAAATGGTATGAAGAAGAAAAAAGGCAGCATTTTTGTTTGGACGAAGCATTGGCCGAATATTGCACAAACGATGTGCAGATACTAACAGAAGCACTGATTGCTTTCAGAAAAAAATTTATGGAAATTAGCAAAAGGAAAAACACACAACCTCAAGCATCCCAAGAAGGAATTGATATATTACGAGATGCAATGACTATAGCATCAGCCTGCATGAAACATTTTCGACTTAATCATCTGAAACCTGAACATTTGGCAATTGTCCCTGAAAAAGGATATGAAAACTGCGATAATCAAAGTGAACTTGCACTGAAATATTTACAATGGTACGAAGATACGCGAGGAGTTAAAATCCAATGTGCACATTCAGAAGGTGGAGAACATGTGGTAGCTGGAAGATACAAGGTAGATGGATATATAAAGGAAGAAGATAGAGCAATTGAAGTAAATGGATGTGTTTGGCACGCATGCCAAAAATGTTTTGGAAATGATTTGCACAAAATTTTACCAAATGGAAAAACTGTGGGAGAAATACGTGAAGGTGATGGAAATCGCTTGGCAATTTTACGAAAATATATAAAAAATGTTGATATTATATGGGAATGTGATATACATAAGATGCTTCGACGCAACAAATATATGCGAAAATCATTTGCAAATTATCATGACAGAGGTCCTATAAAAATCAGAGATTGCTATTTTGGTGGAAGAACAGGACCATTACAAATGTACTTTGATGCAGATAAAGAACAACATAAAATTACTTATTTAGATTTTAATTCTCTCTACCCATCAACAATTGCCACAACATCATTCCCTGTTGGACATCCGAAAATTCATGTAGTACCTTTAACTGAACAAAATGTTAATTGGACAAGTGGAGAACAAATTCCATTCAAAGGAATTTTGAAAGTATTTTTAGTACCGCCATCGCAATTGGATGTTCCTGTTATTCCAGTCAAATTTGATGAAAGACTACTTTTTCCTCTTTGCAGAAAATGCGCACTTGCCTATCCGAATGGAGCAAACATCAAAGAATACCACTGCCCGCACAATGATGATGAGAGGGGATGGGTTTCAACATGTACTTCAATAGAGCTAGAAGAAGCATTAAATGTTGGTTACACAGTTACAAAATTTTATAGGGCGCTTCATTATGAAAAATGGGATGAAAATTTATTTAAAAATTATGTGGCCGAGTTTATGGCACTGAAAATTCATGCGAGTGGTTTCCCCGATGGAATAGAAGGAAGAGAAAGTGAGGATAAATTTATAAAAGAATGTAAAGACAAATTTGGAATTGAACTTGAAAGAGAAAAGATGATTCCAGATCAGGCTATGCGCTACATATCAAAATTAATGCTTAATTCGCTATGGGGAAGGTTCAGTCTCAGGAATGGCCAATCAAGAAGTGTAGTCATCGATTCACCCACTGAACTTATCGAATATGACAAAAATAACTCAATTGAGATCCAATCTATCGATAATTTAACTGAAGAAACTATTTTACTAACTTACAAGCAGAAAGAAGAATTTATTATTGAACATGATACATCAAACATGGTGGTATCATTATGGACAACATCAGCAGCAAGAATAAAACTATTGAAGGCAATGCAAAAAGTAGCAAAATCAAATGGATGCAATATTCTCTATGGAGATACAGACAGTATACTATTTTCTCATCCAAAGGACATGGAATGTCCTCTTCAAACAGGGCCTCATTTAGGAGATTTAGCGAGGGAATATGCAGGATCTGAAATAAAAGAATATGTTGGAGGGGCGTGCAAGGCTTACGCACTGAGAATGGAAAGCAGCAAAAATGCCAAAATTATTAGTGTTCTGAAAGTACGTGGAATCACCTTAACGGCTGATGTCTGCAAGCTCTTACATTTTGACAGTTTCAAAGAGAGTGTACTTTATTATGCAAATAGAGGTGACGATAATGAGGAAGATGACGGCCGGGATAAGGGTACAATAATGATTGAAAATCCAAACTTTATACGGCGGAACGTGAAAGATGGTACAGTTTATTCAACTAAGATGAAAAAAATATTCAGACCAATAATACAAAAAGGAATAGTTTCTAATGACCTCAAAATTGTACATTTTGGACAAAAATAATTTTTTTTGATTTCAAATGCTGTAATTTATTTTCACATCACTTTATTTTTGTTCATTATATTTATTATTTATCTTTTGTTAATAAATTATTATATTAAGAAGTTAATCAAGGTTTAGGGTATAAGAAAATTATTGTTAACATTAAGTTCGGAAACTAAATTGATAAAATTTTAAGATAAAGAAGATACAATTTATGAAAAATTAAGGCTAAAAAGATACAATTCATGTAAATTTAAGGCATAGAAGATGTAGATTTTGGGGGTAAAAATGCAAAATTAAGCATTACAAGATACAATTCATGTAAAGTTAAGCTTTAGAAGATAAAATTTCATAAAAATTAAGAGAAATAATAATAATTTAGGTAAAATTGTCCAAAATATAAAAATTTCCTATTGATAGGTGTAAGTATAAGTTGCCCATATGAAAAATATATTCATGTATCTATACACACGCACGAACACACACACACACGGTTGGATAAAATTTTTAAAGTTTTCTTATTAACAATTACAAGTTAACTAGATTATTATTATTAAAATAGAATTTAATATTTTTTAAAAATTAATTTATTATTTTCATAAATATAAAATTTGTAGAACCTATTACACTTCTTTGCTACATAACTGTCAACAAGAAAATTATTGGTCCAATGTTAAAGTTTTTGATCATATTAATAAATATAATGACCCTACTGGCTGCCAACTGTGACGCCAAATCAGTAAAGAGAGAAGAATTAGTGACAACATTATTTCGGTGGACGCCACTACCAATATGGCGAAGGACACCAATTCCAACAGATTACTTAATGTATTCAAGATGGCGATTTTTATATGAACCTCCATTTTCAAATATTATAGATTTTTTCAAAAATTTGTAAAAATTTTAACAAACAATATTTTAATGTAAATTATAATTATTTAATAAATATTTGAATAAAATTATCAAATTAATTAATCATAATATTGCGTTTTTCCCATTGGTTGGGTTTTCCCTCTTTTTCAATCCACAATATTCCTGGTCTAGATTTCCCATTAGTGGCTGTAGACGGTAAGCTTTCGTCAGATATTGGAACACTATTGAGACTAATTGTTGAGGTTGACGAAGTTGCATGCGTACGCCGTGCTTTAAATGTTAAACCGCTTATTGTTGACGGTGGTGATGTAGGAGTAAAACATAAAAGCTCAAGAGGGTAGTATCTTTCGCAAATTCCATTCTTTGTACATGCTCTTTCAATAACACATTGATGAAATGGGTACTGGAGCTTTAATTTGTGATGAGCAAAGAAATATGCCGCAATCGATATATTAAATGGATAACCTAAATTGCCGAAGGCTTTGACTAAATGAGCTCCTGATGTTGTAATTCCATCACACCTAATTTTTCTTTTCATTCCATTCCTATCATAATAATTTGTCTCTAGCTCTCCTTTCTCTTTTATAAATTTTGCAATCAAATCGGCATTTTCTTGATACATAAGTCTATATCTCACCATATAACTTGGGCAGTTCAATTTTTTAGAAATATCCTCCAAAATCGAATTCATTTTTATTGATTAATTTATAATGTTAAGTAAATGATTAAATGACTTTATAAACTTTTAAGATTAAAGAAATTTTCCCTTTTATACGAAACTTTTTCTTTGAAAATTACAAATATTACGAAATCTTGGAAGAAGGGGGGCGGAGCTTAGCGGAGTATATAAATCAACAGATTTCCCAACTTTTCATTCATTTTTTCATTCATTAAAAATAATATTTAAAATTAAATAAAAAATGAGCGGATTAAAAAAAGAAAAAATTTCAAAAATGGAATTGGTTAATGAGCCAAATATTGAGGAGGAAGAAGAGATAATTGAAGTGGAGACTGGAAAGGAAACAACACATAAGGCAAAATCCCCTGTCACAAAATTAAATAATGGGAAAATTGAGAAGAATAACAGCATAAATCCGCGTGTGTTATGGAAATTGATGCGGATGAAAGATACGCCAAGAATTGAAATTAGAATCTGCAAAAAATGTGCTAATGCGCTTTATAATGATAAGAATAAATTCACTCAGAAGGAAAATGGAAATATTGGAATTTGCTTTGAAATTTGTGAAAGCTGCGCAAAATTAAATATGCAATTCAAGGATTTTGTTGCTGACTGGGATGAGAAGAATATAGAAAAGTTGAAAAAGTGATTAAAAATTTCAAAAAATATTTTTTCTTAACATTTTTATTTTTAATATTAATTTCAATAAATGTAATAATTTAATTTGAAATAAAAAAATTTTGGAATTTACTTTATTATTACTTACCATAGAACATTTTAAATTCGTAAAATCCTAATCTCTTTTTCGGAAGCCACGCCCATTTTAAGATATAAATACTGAAAAATTCCTTTGAATCAAACTTCCATTCAAAATTTAAATTCATTTATAAAATTATTTAAAAAAATGTCAGTAATTGAAAATAATTGCCAGCTCTTGGAAAAAGTGCTCCCTGAGGTTTTATTTTCGGTATCTTCTACTGGTGTGACAATCTCGTCACCTCGTCTCATAACAGCGCGTTTTGTGGAGTTTGACTTGGCTGGGAAATGTAAAAGTTGTAAGGGAGAAAATGTGGACATTGATTTTATTGTTACTCCGAAGGATGTAACCTTATTTTGCAATCGGCTAAAATCAGAAAAAGTTGTAATGTTTGACCATATCTATGAAATTCCTCAACAATGTGTTTTTCGTGTTAAATCAAAAGGAAAGAATTTTAATATTATTCATAAGGAACCAAAGTGGAATGAAAATAATTTTATCAAAGGAGATGAACAGATGACTGTCAAGGAGTTTTTGTCAAAGTTTTCACAAAATCAGACTCAAGTAGGGATAGAAGAAACAAAAGAAAATATAAAGAAAGATGATAAAGAAAAGAAATTCGACAAAATTATTTAATTTTTTAATAAAATTTTTTTTTAATATTATAATTAATCCACTCTTAATAATTAATCATTTTTATTTTTTATTTTTCGACAAATATTTTTAAAATGAATTATCATTTATTTTCTAATAAAGATTTAAAATTAAAACTCCCATTTGGTTGCATTATTAGCGGCCCAAGTTCAACTGGTAAAAGTACATTTGTACGAAAGTTAATTATTAATTCTGATCTACTTATTGAACCTATTCCAAAATCCATTCTTTACTGCTATGGCGAATATAATTCTTTAGTTCCCGAACTACAGCGAGCCGGAGTCTCAGTATATTCCGGAGTTCCCCCAGAGGATCTTATTAAGAAGCAAGAACAACCTTCACTAGTCATTCTTGATGACTTAATGTACTCAATTGACGAAAAATATTTATCGGAACTTTTCACAAAGAAATCTCATCATCTTAATTTTGGCATAATTTTCATAACCCAGAATCTCTTTGAGAAAAAACTTAAAGTCGCACGCCAGAATTCAATGTATATTGTATTAACTCGCGCACCAAATAGTGCATTGGCCGTTCGAAATTTAGGAGTACAATTATTCCCAGGAAGATTAAATTATTTTCTAGACGCATATCGACAAGCTACAAACACCAGTAATTATTCATATCTTTTTATTGATTTACACCCTTCATCAGATCCAAATCTTAGACTAAGAACAAATATATTTAAGGAAGATCCAGCAGAACCCCATAATTCATTACCAATTATATTTTTGCCCAAGAATTCCTCTAATTAGAATCATGTCAACAAATATTAGTCAACTTGTCAAGGACAATTTACAATTTCTCAAAAAACTCGCAAAAACACGTTCATTAACTAAAAGAAGACAACTTTTAAAAAACGCTTCAACAGATCAATTACTATCTCTCACTGAAATTTGTTTTAATATTGTACGCGATCAATTTAAATTAAATAAAAGGCAAAAATATCGTCTCTTACCGTTCGCTAATTTTGTTCGTCGTGTGAGCAGACTAAAAACAGAAGGAGGAGCCCGACGTACAGTAATACAACAAGGAAGCGGTTTACCAATTGGTTTATTTCCTGCCCTCCTTACCCCAATCATTATTGAATTAACAAAAACATTGACAAGCAATTTATAAAAATGGCAAATAAATTTATATTAATTCCTGAAGATATATATCGCGGATTAATTACTCAACCCACCCCACAAACTGGAAATATCAATTTGGATTTTACACGAGAAAATTTGGAGACAATTAAAAATCAAAATGCCAACACAGAATTAAAAAATATAAATTATAATCAGGAATTAAGACGTTATTTACACATGTTGAAAGATCAAAATGAGAGACCGATGAATGTTTCAGTCCGCCAAATGGAAGATACAGCGTTAGATCAAATCAAAAAATTACTTCCTCTACTCCAGACAAACTCCAATGAAAGTCGTCAAGTAACCGAAAGCACTCCAATAGCTTTTAAACAAAATATTGTTACACCGAAATTGTCCCCGATAAATGAAAATACTGAAGATGATCTTAGTATGCACACAGCCGAGGAGGAATCTCCGGAAATTAAGGGCAAAACTGATCCAAAAAGCACAACTATAAAGGAAAAAACGAAGGAAATTTTTGAAAATATGAAACAGGAAAATCTTGATAAATATGACGTGAGCAATGATGGAAAGATTCTAAGTAAAAAGGGAGGAAAAGAAATAATGGGAAGCAATGCAAAGAAATCCATAGAGTGCATTCTTCGAACTGGGGTAGCTGGGAAATTGAGATGGGGAGAACTGACACCGCCCGGAACATCAGTTTTAGAAAGTAAATTAAAAAGTGATAATAAAATTTGGTCATTGATAGAGAAGGCAAGAGAAAGTTGTACCCCAAAAAGAAGTTATTCAAAACAAAAAAGAAAAATACCTGAATCCAAAGAAATAGTTGAATCAAAATGGAGGGCTCCAACAGAGTGGAAATAATATTAGATAAACTTTACAATGATCCATCAAATCCGGCAGGGTTTGCTGGTGTAAACCAACTATGGACAGAGGCTAGAAAAAAAGATGCAAGTATTAAAAAGAAGGATGTTGAGGAATATTTAGAAAGTCATAGAACTTATACAATTCACCGTCCTAGGCGCGTACATTTTAAAAGATCAATAACATATCCTTCTGGATATATGACAGATGTTCAGTGCGACTTGGCAGATTTTCAAAAACTGTCAAGGCAAAATAATGGAAAGAATTATGCGCTTGTGGCAATAGATGTTTTAAGCAAAAGAGTTTTCGCTGAACCTGTGCGCACTAAAAAATCAAATGATATGATTGATGCATTTGAACAAATATTGGCAAGAATGGAAATGCATCCCCACCGAATATTTAGCGACAAAGGAACAGAATTTTGCAGCAAAGAAATTATAGACTTTTTTAGGAAAAAAGATATTGAAAAATACACGGCAACTTTTTCTGAAGTTAAAGCATCTCTAGCTGAAAGATGTATTCGGAACATTAAACAGAGATTGTACAGATTTATGAGTGAGAAACATACACTAAAATGGATAGAAGCATTACCGAGAATAGTAGACGCAATAAATCATTCAAAGTGTAGGGTTTTAGGAGGATTAAGACCAGTTGATATAAGTTTTAACAATGCAAAGAAAATTAGGGAAATGGTATTTGGACCTATTGGAAAAAATAAACCTAGAAAAAAACCAAGATTCAAGGAAAATGATCATGTGCGTATGAGCAGAAGTAAAAATATTTTTTCAAAGGGTTATCTACCAAATTACAGTGATGAAATTCTTCAAATAGATCTTGTTAAAAAGAAGGCTAATCCCAATAGATACCGCGTCCGTGACGATAATGGAGAATTATTCAAAGGATACTTTTACCCAGAGGAGCTGACAAAAGTAAGAAAAGATGAGAATACTAGCTACAGAATTGAGAAAATCATTAAAAGCAGAAAGAAAAAAGATGGAGGAAAAGAATTTTTTGTAAAATTTTTTGATTACCCCCAACCCTATTGGATAGATGAAAATCAATTTGTATAAAAGACCAATTTTTCATTCCCCATAAATCATTTTTATATTTTCTGAATCAATTTTATATTTTATAAATCAATTTCCATTTTATTGTTCAATTTATAATTATTAAAAATAAATAATGGCTAATACATTTTTTGTTGTTCTTCCCAGCAATGTTAGTGATTATACAGATAATAAACCCAATAAATATCGCGTACATCTCCCTAAGCCAATAGAATTTCAAGGTGGAAACTGGGTATGTGGGCTCTATAGTATCCAATACCCCCAGTCATGGGCTGCAACTATTGGCACCGACGTTAAACAATGGATCGAAATTAATTACAAAAACAAAAAGCCTCATAGAATTGGAATTCCCAAAACAACACAGTTAACACCCAATGGACTCAGCTTCTTTCTCAAACTTGTATTATCCAATAAAGAAAAATCTAGAAAAAGACGTGATGTATTAATTCATACTTTAGAGGATGAAATTATTATTGACCCCGAAATTAATTTAGTGGTGGACCCAATTAAGAAACGAAGAAAGAGAGAGGCAGGTGAAGCAGATAGGGTGTCATTATGGATAAAGGAATTTTTTAATCAGTATCCACACAATTATTGGGAAGCCATACGCGATTATGAACATGATTTGGAACAACATAAAGTTAAGGTAGAAGAAAAAACAAAACAAGTTCTTAATGAGGAGGATGATATACAGAAGGAAGAATTTCAGCAAGAACTTGATCACCTAGAATCCCTTTCAGAAGGTAAAAAGAAGGAAATTCGTCTTTTAACAGAGGAAGCTAATAAGAGAGATAGGCGTAATGATCGACTTATAGCAAATGAATTTTTGGAACAACACCCAGATGATTATCATGAGGAAGTAATAAAAATGGAAATAAATATAATAGTAAGATACATTGAACTTGAAGACAAAATTAAAGAAAGCAGGGAAGAGGGTGGTAAAAATGTTCGTTCTGGAGAAGAAATTCAAAGATTTATTAATTCAATAAAGCGTATGCGAAAAAACTTGGAAGCACTGGAATCTGCTATTATTGAAAGAGAGTTGAAAATTACTAGAGATGAATTTCATCAGCAAAATTCAAATACACACTCAGAATTTGTCCAGAAATTTTTCGAGGACCACCCTGTGGATCATTGGACAGCATTAAAGAAAAATTTAGGTGATCTACAGGAATTACATAGACAAATTCGAGAAAAACGAGATGCCCATTCACAA